ATAGATAGATAGATAGATAGATAGATAGAGAGAGAGAGAGAGAGAGAGAGAGAGAAGGAGAGAGAGAGAGAGAGAGAGAGAGAGAGAGAGAGAGAGAGAGAGAGAGAGAGAGAGAGAGAGAGAGAGAGAAGAGAGAGAGAGAGAGAGAGAGAGAGAGAGAGAGAGAGAGAGAGAGAGAGAGAGAGAGAGAGAGAGAGAGAGAGAGAGAGAGAGAGAGAGAGAGAGAGCAATTTCGGCTTAATCTGACTTTTGCATATTCGCTCAGGACTCGACGCTCAGGTAGTGTTAAACTATGATTGCCTCTCTTTGCCTAAAGGCTTTGGGAGGCGATGCATCACACCATTTTTATCTATTCCTTTTTTTTGAAAACGGATAGGCCCGTGTAAACAGGAATGTTCTTCCTCTCGCTTTTGAATCGCCGGTTTTAACAAAGCAGAAACGGCTTCAGGCACTAATTGCAAATCGATTCGCGAATCCTTGCACGGGACTTTGAATTTAAATGAATTGAAGGCGGAAAAGGGGAGAAGTAATAGTAGTGATAATTGTAGCAGAGAGAAGAAGAGGAAGAAGATGCAGAAGAGGAAGAAGATGAACAAGAGGAGGAAAGAGAGAAAGAAGGAGGAGAGAAAGGAGGAGAAAAAGAAGAAGGAGAGGAAGAAGAATAAGTAAAAGAGAGAGGAACAAGAAGAAGAGGAAGCGAAGGAGAAGAAGAAAAGGAAGGAGAAGTAGAAGACACTTTAATTCCACTTCCTCTCCAATTCCGAATAGAGTGGATAGGGAAATGGAACAACCAAATGACTCCCGACACCTGTCACCTGTCTGCCACATCGCACAAATCTTCACAAAGAGGTTTATTTCCAAAGTCTTCAGGAAATCGTATTAACTGTGTCGAAATTTATGAGTATGGTGAACGAAGGAGAAGGGAAAGGGGAAGAGGAAAAGAAAGGAGATATGAGGTAGTGTGAGGGAGAGAGGGAAAGAGGAAAGAGGAGATGGAGGGGAAAAGGAGACGAAGGGGAAGAAGACGGAAAGACGAGAAGGAAAAAAAAGAAAGAGATGTAAGGGCATTGTAAGAAGTTGGAGGGAAGAGACAGGACGAGACAAAAGGAAAAAAAAAGGGGAAGATAAGAGAACAGATAAAGAAGGGAGAATAGATAGAAAAAAGATGAAAGAGAAGACGGGAAAAAATGGGAGGTTTTATAATTTGACTCGAAGGTACGAAAAGTGACTGTGAGATGACATAATAAAGTGAAATGAAAAATGAGTTTGAAAGACGATGTTATTGAATGAGAGAGAAAATCTGTGTTACTGATAGTACGTGAAAGATAAGGTTATCCATAGAACTTGCTGAACCAGTCTAAAAGATGACGAACGACGGAGAAAGAAAAAGGTTAAGGAAAAGGTAAGAAAGGAAGTAAGAAGGAGAGAGAGAGAGAGAGAGAGAGAGAGAGAGAGAGAGAGAGAGAGAGAGAGAGAGAGAGAGAGAGAGAGAGAGAGAGAGAGAGAGAGAGAGAGAGAGAGAGAGAGAGAGAGAGAGAGAGAGAGAGGACTTAGTAAGGTTAGAGGGACAGACCTGCCACAGGTACTTCGTTACTGAACTTGTTATGTGCCGCGTTCACTGAAGGTTCCTGTCGCTTTGGACTGGAACCGAGCTTTGTGTGTATGTTTGTGTGTGTGTGTGTGTGTGTGTGTGTGTGTGTGTGTTTGTGTGTGTGTGTGTGCGTGTGTGCGTGTGTGTGTGTGTGTTTGTGTGTGTGTGTGTGCGTGCGTGCGTGCGTGCGTGTGCGTATGTGTGCGTGTGTGAAGGCGTGCGAGTGCGTGCGGACTTGTGAAAATAATTCACAAAGAAACGAGCATACGAATCAATTAAAACACAGACACACACAAACCAACAAACACGCACAAACACACACACTAGCAAACAAACACACATATACAAACACAAACAAATAAACAAACAAACATACACAGGCCAATAGACAAACACACATATACACACACAAACAAATAAACAAACAAACACACACAGGCCAATAGACAAACACACACACACACAAACACACACAAACACACACACACACACAAACACACACATCTAATGGCCATAAACTGCGTGGGGAGCGAGCATAACTCAGGCATAGCGTCAAGACTGCAACCACTGAGTTTCTGTCGCGACTGATAAATCTCCTGCCGTTAGCCAGTACCGTGGAATGGCATTTTCTGTTTTATTCTCTCGCATTCCCCTTCCCATATACACGCCTGCACGCTCTGTATATTCTCGGTATATTCGGAGGGACGAATAAAAATAGCACAGGCATGGATGTCTGGATGGATGTGTTGTGTTGAGTTGCTTTGTATGTTGTCTGATGTGTTTTGTGTGAGTGTGTTGTGGTGTGTTTCTTTTTTATGTGTGTATGTGTGTGTGTGTGTGTGTGTGTGTGTGTGTGTGTGTGTGTGTGTGTGTGTGTGTGTGTGTGTGTGTGTGTGTGTGTGTGTGTGT